GCCGCATGTGGTCAAAGGTATCCGGTGAATTTTGGGTAATGGAGAGAGTACGCGTTTCTGGCTCGACTCATGGTTAGACTCGAGTGGGCCGCTTGCGCGTTTTGCTGACCCTCTCTTGCACTCAGTTAATATTGGTGTTGTAGTCGCTGACTTGGTAGATCCTAATGGAGGGTTGGAGACAGGATTGTTTTCACGGCATTCTCTCCTCTTCTATCGTCCTTCGTATAGCTGGCACGTTGCCACCCCGAGCTGCTGCCGGAGAAGACCGACGGATCTGGGGCCTTTCTGCGAACGGTCAGTTCTGGACGAAGTCTGCTAAACTCCCTCTCTCCCACTGTGCGCGACAACTCTCAACATTTGTGGACTGCCATTTGGCGCTCACCGGCACCGCAACGAGCTCGCAATTTTCTGTGGCTCACCGCCAAGGATCGCCTCCTCACCAACTTTGAACGAGCCCGACGGCATTTAACGGCATCTGCGGCCTGTGAGTTATGCGGGGAAATGGAAACGATATTGCACGTCCTTCGTGATTGCCCTCCTACCCGGGAGCTATGGCAGCGCCTCCTGCCGCCTGATCATGACGGAACTTTTTTCAGTCTGCCTCTAGACCAATGGATACGCAAAAACATTTCGACAATGCGGTCGGGGCATGGGGAGAAGTGGAACAGTATTTTCGCAATTGGTATTTGGCGTTCTTGGTTATGGCGTAATGGGAGGGTGTTTAAAACTAAACAGCTTGTTGTTGAGGTCCGCCGGCTGGAGATATTGCGGCTGACGGAAAACTACTCTCGGGCGCTTGCGGACTACGTGCGAGTTGGTGCGGGTGTAAATGTCACTCAGAACATTCGGTGGATCCCTCCAATGTCGGGCTGGATTAAGATAAATTCGGATGGAGCCGTGGATATGGTCACAGGCACGAGTTGCGCTGGGGGTTTACTCCGGGACGAGGAAGGACGTTGGCTTACGGGATTCTTATTTAATATCGGTTTTTGCACAATAACAGGAGCTGAGTTGTGGGGCCTTTTCCAGGGTCTTTTATTGGCATGGGAGAAGGGGCACCGGAAAGTTGTGGCTGAAGTCGATAGCCTCTGCGTCAAGAATATGGTGTGCGACTCCGAAGGCGACTTGGGACCTCATGCTGCAATGGTTAGAGCTATTTGAGATTTGATTCACCGGGCTTGGAGCGTCAATATCCGACACATATTTAGGGAAGGCAACTTTGCGGCCGATCATATGGCAAGCATGCGGATGCGTACCCGCTTGGTTTACATTGTTTGGTTTCTCCACCGACCGGCCTAAGTTCTTAGCTCGTTCATGACATTAGTGGGGTGTCGTATCCCCATAGAGTACTTGTTTAGGCCTTAGGCCTCTTTCTTTGCACCCAAAAACAAAAAAGAACTTCATGCAAGTAAATGAAAAGTATACCTCTTTGTTTTTCTTTGCATACAACTTGAAAAGTTTAAAAAAAATAAAAAATATCGAAGAGCACGAAGCATTTATTTGAACATCTATCCAACGAGATACAGCTACAAACTATCACTTGCCAAGAAATGAATCAATGCTCCTCAAAATTTAAAAATTGGCACTGATAACTCTAATTCTTTATCATATCATTTTTATTTTGCATCAAATTTTCCGCCCTAACATCAACATTTTACGCATAAATGACGTTGCCATTGTATAATTATCAATTTCATAATAAAAATTAGATAAATGAGAAGAATCTCACATAAACGCAGGCTTACCAGCAACACACGCGTATAAATACAAACGCACATTTCGAATGGTATAAGATCATTTTATGATAAGATTATATCAAGAAGTCAACTTATTTTCTTTAAAGATCACATACACGGAATTACGAAGACCTTCGAGCACAAATATTGGACCGTTATTGGAATGAAGTTACAATTTTTTTTTGTTTATAACTTGAGCTAACGTGGTAATAAAAAATAAGATTATTGTTAGACAGACTTAAACACCAATACTTTTTCTATAAATATTCCTACTTTAACTATAACTTTCAAAAGTAGTTTGTGGGTAATAAGTAACTATAACTTAGCTTAGATATGTAAATTATGAACCATATATAAATTGTGACAAATAAATAAAATTTCGCTGATTAAATAACTTAGGAAATTTAATTTTCGGAAAGATTTTCTTACTTGAATTATGATTTTCCTTTTTAGTGATTTGACCATAAACATATTTGACACCATTTAAATAGAGCTGAATGCATTTTTCTTTTTTTATGTTGCATCATTTAAAAAAAATATATTTTATTTATTTACAAGATTAAATAAATATTTTGGTCTTTAAATTTTACTTCTAAAGGAACAAAAGACCTAGATGGCTATGCACACAGATGTCTACATTATATGCCTTTGGTAAATGGTTACGAGTAGCAGTAGGTTTTAAATGTATGGAAATGAAAACCAAGCCTCAAATCTCAAAGCAATATTCTTTTTTTTCCCTCAAAATTCCTTTACCCTTTTTGCATCAGTAGAGTGAGTGACTCAGCACCCCCTCTTAATCAACTCATAAGTTCTCTCTCTCTCTCTCTCTCTCTCTCAAGTCTGATATATCAACTCTAGTTTTGTTTGGTACAATTTCCAAAGCCTAGGCCCTATACTCCTTACAACATATTATTATACTATATATTAACTCAGACCAATCCAATCCAATACAATCCAATTACCGCCTCTCTTTATTTTACTTAATTTACAAATTAATTAATTGAATTGAACAATTTCCATTTCCACCATTGTTGTCTTTGATTCCCAATGAAGTAGGGGCATTTTCGTCATTTAATGCATGGGCAGGCCTACGATCTCAGCCAGCCTCCCTCCATGTTTTCAGAGATGTTTTAGCACCAAAAACTATACGCATGCACCATTACTCATTACTACTTCAAATCCCGTCTCTCTTTCTCTCTCTCTCTCTCTTTTCTTGTTTGACTCTTTGTTTATCTCTTTCTTTGTATGTATATTATAAGTATGTATGTATACTCACTCTCACGCATATTCATGCAACCATGTCATTGGCCAACTACAAAACTCTCTCTCATCTCATCCCCTATAAAATGAGCACATCACAATTTCAATCTTCATAAACATATATATATTCTTTTTTTTTCATTAAGGAAAAAAAAAAAAAGTATAGGAATGGACGGTGGTGATCAAAATGGTGGTGGAGGGTCACGATGGAACCACTGGTCGGACCAGTGAACCATTGAACCAGTAGCTCGACCGGTTCGATGACCGGTCCGGTTTTGATAACATTGCAAAAAAGATACAGAATAAATCAACCAAAAAACAAAAAAGGAAAAAAAAGACCAATTAACATTACCTGTAAGTTAATAACAAAAAAGAACTCTGGTCCTCCTCTAGCTGCATATTTCTACACAATTTCCATAAACATTTTTAGTTTTTTTTCCTTTTTTTTTTTTTT